GAGGGTGAGTATGAAAAACAGTGTTCTGATTATTTAACAGGTTATGCTTAAAATGATTCTATGTCGCACTAGTGATAATACTGAAAGGTGATCACTGATGATCTTTAAAATGCTATGTTAACCAAAGCTAAAGGTCAGCTTTAGAACTCACACAGGGTCCCAACTCTCACGCATCTGTCGTGACGCTCACGCTTTCTGACTCTCTTATGTCAAAACTATAGTATTCCATATAAACCTAAAATTAGCTACATGAAAAGCGTTAGGGTACCAAACCCTACATACTATTTACAAAATAATAAATTGTGCATGTGTGTGCGGGCTTGTATTGAACTGAAAATCTCACCCCTGCCATGCAGCTGACCAATGCCGCCCACTCTGGTAGCATGCGTTCAAATATGTAGTATTCCACATGTATGTAGTAACGTACAATATTAATGTGCAATATGTAGTAATATGGTAATATTACCACCCATAGCATGCGTTTGAATTTAGTGAGAAACCTATATCAATGTGAAAATGAAAGCGATGCATGTCGTGAATGAGATGACGCATGACTCAACACATAACTTTTGAACCAACAGTCCTTCTCAGGTGAGCATCCTTCATCAGAGAGCCAGCAGTCTTCAAGCACAGTGTCAGGAGTACCTGCAGAAAGCAGACTTTCTTCTGCAGTCTGTAAGTCGCAGCGAGCTGCACCTGAATGTTGCATTATGGTGTGTGGATGCGCTGTTGGTTCTGTTGTAAAGTAATGTGGCCTGCAGGATGGGATGGAGATGTGGATAGGCGACATCCGTTTTATAGAATGAGTCCAAATGATCAGAACATACACTATATGGACAAAGGTATTTGGACACCTGGCCATTACCCCTACAGCAACTTTTATGACATCCCATTCTAAATCCATAGGCATCAATATGGAGTTGGTTTCCCCTTTGTAGCTATAACAGCTGCTACTCTTCTGGGAAGGCTTTCCACAAGATTTTGGAGTGTGTCTGTGTTCATTTTTGCCCATTCACCCAGAAGAGCATTTGTGATGTCAGGCACTGATGTTGGATGTGAAGGCCTGGCTCTCAGTGTCCATTCTAGTTCATCCCAAAGGTGTTCAATGGGGTTGAGGTTAGGGTTCTGTGTGGGCCAGTCAAGTTCTTCCACACATAACTTACCCAACCATGTCTTTGTGGACCTTGCTTTGTGCACTGGGGCACAATCATGCTGGAACAGAAAAAGACATTTCCCAAATTGTTCCCACAACGTTGGAAGCATAGAATTATCCGAAATGTCTTGGTATGCTGAAGCATTAAGAGTTCCCTACACTGGAACTAAGGGGCCTAGCCCAATCCCTGAAAAACAACCTCCTCAACCAAACTATACAGTTGGCACAATGCAGTCAGGGAGTAATGTTCTCCTGGCATCTGCCAAACCCAGACTTATCCATCAGACTGCCAGACAGAGAACCATAACTTGTCACTCTTCAGAACACATTTCTACTGCCCCAGAGTTCAGTGGCGGCATGCTTTACACCATTCCATCGATGCTTGATATTGTGGTTGGTGATGTGAAGCTTGCATGCAGCTACTTGCCCATGGAAGCCCATTTCATGAAGCTCCCGGCACACAGGTTTTTGTACTGGTGTCAATGGCAGAAGAATTCTGCAGATATTGAGTCAACAGAGCGTTGGAATCTTTTACGCACTATGTGCCTCAGCACTCGGCAACTCCGCTCTGTTAGTTTAAAGTGGTCTGCCACTTCATGGCTGAGTTTGTTCCTAAGTGCCTTCACTTTGCAATAATACCACTTACAGTTGACCATGGAATAGTGTTGGGCGGTATACCGGTTCATACCGAAAACCATATTTTATTATTGTTATGATATGAATTTTTCTTATACCGCAATATCGGTTTAAATAGCCTACACAACGTTCGGAAAGTGGCACAGCTGGAAACCGTTTAAGGGGGGACCTTTTTCACTGCTGCACCGCTAAAAATGTACCGCAAAAGATCAGAAACGAAAGATATATGAAAATAATGAGCCACTGGGGTTGTCAAAAAATCAATTGTGAGATACTAATTGAAATTAATAATTAGTATCTGATTAGATACTCATTTTCACCATTATTGGCTAAGGATGTTGATAAGCCTCTATGCAAATAGTGCTACAAAGTTGTGTTGACGAAGTCAAGTAGCACGTCAAACCTGGCGAAGCATCTTAAAGACCGACATCCCGGTCTTTATGAGAAATTTCGCGTTCCAGCAACACTGAAGTATGAAACACTTATCAAAATTGTTAACTTGGCCGGCGTACACCTTAACATTAGCCGTTTATCTATAAGCAGTTAGCCAAAAAACACGTTAGCCGTATGTTATCATTAAGGTAGTGGATAGGCGCAGTGGCTAATAAAATAATATAGTTAATGTGGGAACAATGCAAAAATGTAAAACAAAAATGTGTCCTGTAAAATCCTGTAAAATATGGTAAATGCCCAGTTATACTTTTAAAAAAAACACCGTCGCATACCATGAAACCGATATAACTTTGAAAAATACAGTGATATAAATTTTTGGTCATACCATGGAATATCTAGCAGGGAAGAAACTTCACGATCTGACTTATTGCAAAATTGGCATCCTATGACAGTGCCATGCTTGAATTCAGAAGGAGCCATTCTTTAACAAGTATTTGTAAACCTGACTGCATAAATAGGTGTTTGATTTTATACAGCTGTGGAAATTGGTCTGAATGAATTACCTGAATTCAGTGATTAAGAGGTGTGTGCTAATACTTTTGTCCATATAGTGTATTTGTATGGCAGAAATATATAATAGGAATCAAACAGAATCAAAATCATTTATTTATTGGCAAGTACTTTTATATATAAGGGATTTGCTTTGGGGTGTTAAGTAAGTCAGTCAACAACAAAACAATCAATATTAATTATGTACATAAAATAGTGCATAGTGCAGATAATGTGTGCAATGCAATAGTCTAATGATTTTTCTTAGCTGGTACTGAACTGATGTAGACAATAGACAATAAGGTTGATTACTTTCTGTGATTCTGCCCATCTGGGGTAGATTTTAACATTTAGCATGGATTAACCCCCCCCCCCCCCCATCTCTCCTTCCCTCCAGGGTGGCGGCTCGGGCAGATCCAAAATGGAGATCGAGAAATGCATGGGCATGGCCAATAACCTGATGCAGGAGTTGCAGTTATGTGCCATGGAGCTGCAGAACCAGGGACAGCCCAGCGATGTCTTCTTTCAGAGGTGAGGATGCTGCTGTCACATGGGTGCTGGAACACAGTGCGCCCCCCCCTCCCCCCCTCCCCCTGCACACAACACCTGATAAGGATCAAAGCTTCATAGTTAACTTAATTTACAACAGCGTCTTGGATTAAAAAGTAATTGCAGAAGGTAAACTGGATATGTTACTCCATTAAAATATTTTTTTACTCGGTTTTTATATCTGAATTGATTTTTTAAATTCAGTTTTATATCTGGTTATGCTTTATAATTTACTTTCTGCACTGACATGAAGGAACTGTTATTTCATCTTAATTATGTTCAATATGTATCATGTTAAATATCATATTATAATTAGTCTGGGTATAGCAGAGATGGGTGTAAACCTGGTCCATTTTTGTGGTAATGGTGTGAAATTATCACTGGATAAAATGGTTGACTGGTGGTTCTTCCCACCTACAGCCTGGACCAGTACCAAGAAATGATGCAGAGGATCCACTATGCTATCGGTGGGACACTCCAACGCAGGAAGAGCCTTGTGACCCGGGAGGATCCGAGCCGTAATTTCCAGGAGGCCATAGCCTGGATTGGGCAACAGAAGGTACATTCAGCAACTATTAAACAAAACTACACTGTGCCACTGAGAATGGATCTGTGTGTTATATACAAAATATCCCAGGGAAGGGGAGGAGGCGCTGTCTAACTGCTTACACATTTATTCTCAGGTTTATCCGATTTTCCACACTTTTGTTCTGATAAACATTCCCAAGAGACACCAGCTGGGAAGAATTAGATATTTCATGTGTGTTATTAGGTAAATATGAGAATGAATATGGTTCTGACCATTGTTACTTAAAGCAAACGTGTTTTTAATTCCTAAAGAAGAGAAGTAGTGGTCTAAAATAAGCTTACCAGCATGATGCTTCAACTCACTCCTTTTATCTAAGTGCTTAAAAAAACACTTCTGCTGCAGATTCCTGGAATATCCCAAAGCTGATAAGTTGCAGAGTGCCCTAGAATGATTTTCTGTAACTCTGTTGCCACCTGGTGATATGCATTGGAATGGCAGGGAGTCTTCAGGCTGAGAACTGAATGGAGGCCGGTTTGGAAGTTTTAATGTGTCAGTTGATTTTATTCAGTGATAACCTTTTGCACATTAGGGTTCCACAAATCCGATGCCTCGGGGCAAGAAAAAGCCCTGTGAAGCTGTTGCCAAACCTGTTTGCAGTGCAGTAGGAGTTGTATCAGCCCCCAGTCTGACACTTATGCTGTCAAAATGTCGATCCCAGCAGGGTTTTTAATTAATCGTAACCATATACGGTATGCAAACAGAAGCTTTATGAGTGCTGTGCACAAACTTGACCTCCCTACTCCCCTCCCTCCACCATGCAGCGGCTGATTGAGACCTCGTCCTGGGGAGATGACCCCAGTGCCATTGAGCAGCAGATCTTCAACCAGAACAAGTTCCACAGCTCCATTCAGAGAAGCGCTGAGGTGGACCGTGCAAGGGAGGAGCTGGTAAAGACTACTGGGGGGTTAGGGTTAGGGTTAGGGTTACCCCTTAAGTGGAGCCATAATTCATAGTAGAGCTGGGTGGTATGACCAAAAATTTATATCACGGTATTTTTCAAAGTTATATCGGTGTCACGGTATACAACGTTATTTTTTTAAAGTATGACTGGGCGTTTACCACATTTTACAGGATTTTACAGGACACATTTTTGTTTTACATTTTTGCATTGTTCCCACATTAACTGTATCTTTTTATTATTAGCCATTGCACCTATCTGCTACCTTAATGATAACATAATGATACATTTTTTGACAACCCCAGTGTCTCATTATTTTCATCTCCAGCGTCAGCTATATCTTTCGTTTCTGATCTTTTGCGGTACATTTTTAGTGGTGCAGCAGTGAAAAAGGTCCCCTCTTAAACAGTTTCCAGTTGCGCCACTTTCCGAACGTCGTGTAGGCTATTTAAACCGATATTGCGGTATAAGAAAAAATCATATCATAACAATAATAAAAAACTGTTTTCAGTATGAACCGGTATACCGCCCAACACTAATTCATAGAGAGGGGCCCACCTTATCATTTGCCAATGATATGTTCTGAATCAATGAGTGACAGGAGAGGGGGCCCTATGTAGGCCAATCAGCCTTCAGCTGAGGCCAGTGCCCCTGTTGCCCCACCCCTGTACTCACCCCTGCCTGCAATGTGCTTACAGTGTACATACAGCGCAACTTTCATCACATACCAAACTGACTGACATCATCAATTTTGTACAAGTACAAATAAATAATCGATTTAATGAATAATAGGCCTAGAAGGTCTTATGTTTAAAAGATCTTTGATAACTTTTAAAAGTAATAAATTGTTATAAACCTTACCATCTTGTACGTGGTTGAAACATAGGTGGATGGATGAAAATTGAAAATGGAAATATTTTGTTAGATAAATAACATTAATAGCATACTATACTAATATCTTATTAGATTAAAAATTAGTCACTTTTTTGGCCCCTTTCTGCCAACACAAAATCTTGTTAGAGATCAGCCTAATGTCACTAAAAATGCAATAAAGGACAAACACCACCTTTGTAATAAAAAATAGGGTGAATCATACACTCACAGAAATAGGCACCTTTTACAGTGATCACTGCTGAACAGGTTCTAGGTATTTTACTAATCAAAGCCTCAAGTTATTTTTTTTTAAAAGTTCAGAAACTTTTGATTGCCAGTATAAATTGATCATGATCAAACCCCAAACCCTAATTTCCTTCTCGTTTCAGTTGCAAAAGAGAGACAAAGCCAACCTGAATATGCTGGAGCAGGAGTGGGAGAGCTTGCAGGTTAGACTGTGCATCTGTGTTTTAATAAACACTGATGCAAGCACATGCCTGCCTGTCTCACCAACCTCCTCCTGTACACTATTCCATTCAGAGGATGTCCTGTAACCGCACCAACCAACTAAGGGAACTTCAGGCGATCATCGAGGAGATTTCCAGGGAGATCATGTGGGTGAATGAGCGCGAAGAAGAAGAGTTGGTGTCCGACTGGGGAGACAAGAACATAGATACCTACATCCCTAATAGACAGGAGAACTACTCAGTAAGTAGCCTTTTATTAGTACTTAGGAGACCCTTTTATGAGAAAACAGGGTCAGGGTCAGTAATGGGGGGTTAAGGTGTACTCACTAGCCGATCCGTATCATGCCCGAGCACATTTGTCCCCCAAAGTCCTGTTCATTTGACTAGTGTGATCGCTTTGTATCGTGCCCTGACCTGCTTGGAGAGGTGGACAGGAGCACGATTAGTCAGAATCGGGCACAGTACGGATGTAGTGTCGTCACTAACCGTGCCAGAATATGGAACACATACATGACGTCACTGATGTGACTGACACACACATGTGTGCATGTACACTATACAAGAACCGAACCCGGAAGGAATGGATCGGGTAGGTTGTACAGATTGTGTCATTTTTTTACAGATAATATGAGCACCCATAAAGTTTACAGAAGTTTCTTATGCTTTATTTTGTCCATAAACTTATGCTTTATTTTGCTCAATAAACAAAAAAAAATCCCATGCAGCACATTATGCTTGATTATCTAACTCAGGGGTCTCAAACTCCAGTCCGGGGGGGCTGGAGCCCCGTGTAGCTTAGTTCTTTCCCCATTCCACCACAAATGACTCAGCTCAAGAGCTGTGTGGTAATTAGCACAAGGAGTTTAATCAGGTGTGTCAAATGAGGGTGAACCAAAAACTGTGTTGAGCTCCGGCCCCCCAGGACTGGAGTTTGAGACGCCTGATCTAACTGCTTAAAACAGTGTAGCATAATAACCAGTAGTTACAGACGCTAGTTTGATGATAAGGTACTGTACGCTGACATAGCCTGTTTGCCATATTAAAAAATCCTGCTATATTGTAAGATTCCTTACATAAATCAGTGATTTAGAATAGAAGTATATCAATATAAGGGATACTGCATTATCCTATATCTTGTTTTGAAAATATATCGACATAAAAATTCTATTTACTGCCCAGCCCTACACTAAACACTATTTTCACTTTTCTTCGTTTTTTGTAAAAGTGAAAATGCTACTTGGATTTCACTCAGCGAAAAACAGATGCTCACGTGAGCCTAAAGCGAATGCTCATAAAGCAGTGGAGACCCTATAATACTTGTCTCTTCTCTAATCCTTGAAAGTCAGCGTCATTTGTACATATTTCCAAACACTGAAACTGATCGTCCTGTCTTCATTTTACTAAATTTATTTTGTCAAGGATTTTCAAACATCGCAAACTTGCCTGTACTTGAAAGTGTAATCCCCTTATGATGAAACTGTATCATATAACGTTTAAGCTTCAAAAATGTCTTGGCATACTGCGATGGTTGTGTTCCTAAATCATGTATTTGCTTATGCTCGTTTAGAAACTCATGTTTGTCTTGGAAGAGAAGGAGAAGGATCTGAACAAACTCAAGCAGAAGGTGGATGTTCTCCTTCAGAGTGGTCACCCAGCATCCGACAAGATCGAGGTAAACTTGAACAGGAGAAGGTTTTGTTTTGTGGTTTTGTTTTACTTTGTTATGTCTGAATTCTACCCCTCATTTGTTTAACCGATGGCGTGTTGGGCTATACCTCTGCTTATGTTTTTAGGCTTATATGGAAACCCTGCAGACCCAGTGGAGCTGGCTCCTTCAGATCACTAAGTGTATCAACGTACACCTTAAGGAGAATGCAGCTTATAGCCAGGTACCCCCCCTGCACCCTGCCCCCCATTCAGCTATTGACCTTGAATATGAAGTGGAATATCAGCCACCAATGATTTTGTATCATAAATTGAAGTATCTTCAAAAGATTAACTTTGTTTCTCCTCCAAAGTTCTTCAAAGACGCCAATGAGACCTACAGCAAGCTGCAGAACCAGCATGATACAATGCGTAAGAAGTTCACGTGCAACAGGGTCATGCCCCTGGAGACTCTTCAGGAACTGTTGAAGAACCTGGAGGTAGAGAATTTTGCCCCCATTCAAATCATAATGCAAATGATCACAAGACCTTTTATTTGACCCTAGGAACCCAAACTTTATTGATCGGGGTTATTGGTCGACTAAGGGTATGAAGTGTTGGTCTTCAAAGGGCCTCATTTAGTCTGGTCATTGATTTTTACCCCTCTGATCCTCAGAGGGAAAAGGAGAGGCTGACAGAGAACAAGAGACAGGTACAGCTCCTGGTCAACAAGTCCAAAAACATTGTGAGGTTGAAGCCACGAAATGCAGAGGAGAAGACCAGCGGCCCGGTGATTGTGAAGGCCCTGTGTGACTTCAAACAGGACCAGGTCAGTGAAGCATGCTTGTACACGTTTGTGCACAGCCTCACAGATGCACAAACACCATCACTCAGCTGGTCTTCACTTTGCTCTGCAGAAGGTGATCCTTAATGGTGATGAGGGTATCCTGAAGGACAACAGCCAGCGCAGCAAATGGCAGGTGACAGGTCCAGGGGGTCTGGACATGCTGGTCCCATCTGTCTGCCTTCTTGTGCCTCCCCCCAACCCACTCAGCATTGGTCTGGCCAACAAGTAAGACCATAGGAACCATTAATCTCTGTTTTAGCCACTATAGGCAAAACCGAAACCTATGTGTCCTGTTAGTAAGGCAGTGGTTTGTGAGCTCAGGGGATCAGCAAATAATTGGGAGGGGTTGAGAAATGATATTCTGAATGTACTAAAAAAAAGTGAAAAATAAAATCATGTTGGCTCCCCAAACCCCCCTCCCCCAACAAATTTTATCGTTTCAAATTGGGGTGTGAGACTTGACCAATGTTCTTTGGGTGGGTCTCCAGACAAAACGAACCACTGCTTTAAGGGCAGATAGTTGTACTAATAAGAAACCTCTTACATAATAATGTGTTTTTGAAAAATATAGCATCATGGAAATTATAAAAACTATTAAAAAACATGATAAAATTATTGCATGTTTTTAATATTCTAGTATTCCTAAAATATTCTAATTTTCAAAATCATTTATTCCGTATATGGTGCATTAAAACTGAAACAATTAACACTATGAAAAGATTTCAACAATTACAATGATTGTAATTCCCCCAGTTGGAAGCATTAGCAGTTGTGCTGACCGATTTCTCCAAAGCGATGTGTCTGGTGGGGGAGGGGTTGGGTAGCAGCAGGGAGGACCACACCCCCGAGCTAAAATGGAGACTTGTTTTGCCCATCATAGGAACGAACAGTACTATGAAGCCATCCTGGCCCTGTTTAACCAGCTATTCATCAACATTAAGAGCCTCATGTCCTGGCAGTTGTGCCTGATTGATATTAGCCGCATCAACTCACTGAGCATCAGCATGGTACGTCTCACCGGGAACATCTGGGTAGCACAACTTCCTGTCTGGTTCTACAAGCAGGAAATCCAGCAGGAATTTGGGTGCCCATCGAATCTCATGCATACATCTCTATGACAGCTTGTTGATTAAAGCTAGTTAAATTTCCTGTTGACCTGAGTGTCACATAACGGCAGCAAAGGTGCAGATTGGCAAACAACTCCCATGGGGGAACATTGTTCATCATGTTGCTCTGCCGTCCCTGCAGCTCGTACGGATGCGTCCAGAGGAGTACCGTAGCATCATAAGAAGCCTGGAGACCAACTACCAGGAGTTCCAGCGTAACTACATGGGCTCCGAGTTGTTCGGCGAAGAAGACAAGAGGAACATGGACACTCAGTACAATGGTGCCCAAGCACATTACAACAAATTGGTTGTGCAGCTGCCCGCATACGGTAAGGTTAACAATTCAAACGACATCTCTGAAGTGATAATATAAAAAAAATGTGCAATTTACATTCCTTTTTAAATCTCAAGATACATTCATTGTATCTACTCACCAACTGTTCACACAATTCTGCATGTATGTGTATCTATAAAAATGAATATGCTGTTGCTGTTGTCAATGACCTAAAGTGTACTAAGGCTGGATCAGTTCTTCTTTTATAGAAGCAGGGGCACCACTAGGGATTTTGGGCCCCCTACCCAAACCAATTTAATCGTGTTCCAATTCTTTAGGACCCCTGTCACTCAGCGGCCCTTGGAATTATCCTAACTCCACCCTAACCCCCACCCCCCTTTACCACACCCCTATAGAGATGTTCTGAGCCTGTTTTGATGAAGAAAGTTTTTAAGTATGTTTTTTTTTAAAACTAGTAATGGCAATCGTGGTGTTATCTTAGCAGACTAGTGACAGTTTCTGGCATCCCCTTTTCTTGTTTACAGGGGGTAAGGAGGTTAAGGAGGTTAAGGAGGTTAAGGAGATTAAGGAAGTTGAGATGGTTAAGGAGGTTATGGAGGTTAAGAAGGTTCAACAAGTTAAGTTGGAGGCACCAGCGCCTGCAGAGTTGCGGGACATGACAATCCTGACGGAGCTGCACAACCTGCGGCTGAGGCTGGAGGCCTCTGAGATGGGTCTCACCCAGTATCTCCACGTGCCCCTGAGGGAAAACAGCGTTCAGGAGTGTTCCCAGCGCATTGTCCAGCTGGAGGTAGGTGTGGGCAGGCTGACCTTGAAACGAGCAGCCAACTCTGGGTGTCTTACCATTGCACCAGTAACCATACTTTTGGTACAAAAAATGTAGTGCTTTCTCTTTTCCATTGATTTTCCATCAGGTACCAGTACCAAAAGCACCAAAGCAGCTGGGATATTTTTTCGGTACTTTGCCTCAAAAAACCTGCCTCAAAAACACAAGTTGGAATAAACAGATTCAATGAGATGTGGATGGAATGAGAAGAAATAAAAAAGTATTTGCTATAATTTATTAGGGCTGCATGATATTGGAAAATGTTTCAAATATTGCAATCTTATTTTGTTGCAATAAATATTGGAATATTTATACAGTAAATACAGATTTCACAATAAATACATTTCTCACAGACCTGTCTAGCAATAAGTTAAATAGCAAGGATGAAAATGATTAGTATGATTGGCTTGCAGAGTGCATGCAATAGCATCGGTGGTAACACATAACACTAGGCAACAAAAAAAAAAATTGTTTTGCTCCTGGCAAGACAATGTTATTTTCATGTTGCTTGGGTCAAAAGCAGCTAGTAATAATCATCCATTGAGTCAAAACATTGGTTTTGTCACTTCTGTCCAACATTTTGTATACAGTCATGGCCAGAAGTTTAGCATCACTGCAGCAAAACCTTGATTGAGTCACTGCTAATGGCAGTAAGTTATGGTGCCAAGCTGTTGTATATATAAAGTCTAAACATACAGCAATGTAAGTGCTGTAACATCAGTCGGATATATGGCTAGATGTTGGTGACATGGCTACCTAGAAGAATTCTTTCCCAAGCTGTCTGAGGCTAAAGTAAAAGCTGGTATCTTTGTTGGACCACAGATAAAGAAAATCATGGAGTCAGCAATTTCCCAGCACTCCCACAGAGGTCCAAAAGGCAGCTTGGAGTAGCTTCATCGCAGTAGTACGGGAATTCCTCGGAAATCATAAGGCCGAGAATTATGTGGATCTGGTAGAGACACTAGTAAGGAACTCAGAGGAACAAGGAGAAAGATTCCACCAAGATCTCAAGGAATTCGAACGTCGATACTAAGAACAATACAACGAGAATATGATGGGGGACTACATCTGGGGTCTTGTTCGTGACAGTAACTTAGTTTACAATCATCAGTCTAAAAGGACATGTAATTTTTAAGTTTAATTGGACTATATGGACACAAGTCAGAAGATTTTGTAAAAAATTTGAAGTCTCTTGCAAAGGCTGTTAATGTTATCTAATTCGTGTTCTGAACTATTGATGTCCTGACCACAAAATCAAAGTTATTTTGAAATGAAAGTTATTTTCTATCATTTGGATATATAAGCTAACAGGAACTAATAGTTATTTCATAGACACAAAAACTGTGTTACATGGTGTAATAGACGATCATGAAATGGAACAATCATTAAAATTTCAATGTTTTGTCTTCTATGACAGAGTAAGAGTGTTTTAGCAAAACTTAAATCCCCCCTGCTGACACAGCATGAAAAAGCCTAATCTCTGCCCATTACAGTCCTTGCAATGTGAGAACTGCATATGCATAACATGCAATGTTGGAATTAATATCAAAACAGCTCAGTGCAATACACTATAGCCATATGTCAAATTCAGTATAAAATACTCTGCCTTACGTTGTAATATCATTCAGCCCCAATACCAGTTTTTACGCCAGTGGAAAACTAGAACAAGAAGTACCATACTTTTTTTGAAGTACGGAAAGTATGGTACCTGGTGCAGTTGAAAAACCTCCTATGATACACGTACCACTTGGGGTACATGAGCTCCTTCTAGTGGTATATGGAGATATCTCTATATTTAAATGTTGGACATAATTGATTGGTAGTTTTCAAAAAGCACATGTTTAGAAGTCATTCTGAATTTTGCACTGACTTTTCCAGACCCTATACCGTGATGTCGGCACTATCAGAGATGAATATCTCAGGCTGAAGGACAAGACCCTGAAGCAGCTAGAGGGCATGACAGATGCAGATAAGGCCAAGTTCCTCCAGACAGAGCTGACGGCCATCAACCAGAAACTGGGCTCCTTGGAAGGCTTCTCCACTGCCTACTTGGACAGGTAAGGTCATTAGTTTGGCTTTCATGGATAGGTTGCTGCTAGTGGACACTTTTATCTTCCTCCTCCGTCAAACTGTCCCATATTTCCACTGAATCAAGTCATTGTTAAATACCCAGAAGGGTCCCACACATTTTAGTGGGGCCCCTGAGATTTGGGAGCCCTCTATTAGCCACTATGTGGACCAGGGTGCCTCCAAAGTAACTTGTAAGTGGTTCCCCAGAACCCTGGTTCCCGTCTATAATCTGTTATAGATTCAACAGCTTAGTTGAATTCAGCATCTTTGCTTGCAAGCACATCTCTTATTATCCATATGTCTGCTGTTTTTTTCCATTCGAACCTCAGGCTGAAGGCACTCCAGACACTGTTCCAGAGCATGTTGCAGGCAGAGGACATAATCAAGGTGCATGAGGCGCGGCTCACAGAGAAGGACACCACTTCCCAGGACCCCAAGCAAGTGGAGGACTACCTAGGTGTCCTGAAGGTATGACTGAAGGTTCTCGTGCAGTCCTAGAATTAACCATGGATTTCCAGCATGACCTGGGCATCATGCCCCAGTCTTTCAGTCACTCTTGTTTGATTTTGATTCTAGGCTATTTACCAACTGAGCTGCTTTACAGATTAGGTGTTCTATTAAGGGAGGGAGGGGGTATAAATCAGCCAGGGTATTCTGGCCAGCTATTGCATATTCTTAAGAGCATCTGCACATGCTTGTGAAGACTTTACAGGTCAATTTAATGTCAAATGGGTATGTTATTGTAATTATCTGCTATGACAGCGGTTCACAAACTATGGTACACATAGAGATGGGCAATATCATATCAATATTATATCGAGCATGCACAATAATCACCAGGGCTTCAGATGACAGGCGAAACATTTGGCCGGACACCAGCTTTTTAGTACTATACAGACGTTTATTTATCCCCACAAATTGTTAAGCAGATTAATACAGCTAGAAAATTAATATTAATGCATCTAATATTAATATTAGATGCATTTTGTGACACCTAAAAGTCAGTAATCTGTATAAGCTTGGCATATCTTTGTTTATTAAAGTCGGCTAGCGGAGTACACCATGTAATACTGCTTTGGTATGCTATGGTTTGTATGAGTCTAATGGTACACATATTCGGACCGAAAATATTTGGTGCAGATCTTTCGGTACTGAACAAATGCAGCAAATGTGGAACCTTTGTGTGGTTCCCCCGAGCAACATTCAGAAAGGGGTGGATGAAGCCACGCCACTACATGCACGCATATGTCCTAATGTGAAGCTGGAAGCTGTTAATGTGAATACAACTACAGCAGGGGTATTTTTTAAATGCTGCACCAAAATGGATATTTATTTTGTTATGCTTTGTATTTTTTGAGACAATATTTGTGTGGCACAGTTCTAAAAAGCAAACTATGTTTGAATACTTTTACCGCCCCTGTACCGAAAACGATTTTTGTGTACTGTTGCACCTGTAATGGTTTGGTGAAGAAAGGAACAGCTCAGCAGCCATGACATCTTTTCAAAGAGGAGGTGGTGTGGTGGTACTTTTTGCAGTTTAAATCCTGGCACGTTTATTAAACATAAGGATATGCCGAATTTATACTGATTACTAACTTTTGGATGTCATAAAATGCTTCATTAATATTTTAGTCATACTATTAATCTGCTTAACAAATTGTGGCAGTAAATAAACGTCTATATACTAAAAAAAGCTGGTGTCCGGCCAAATGTTTTGCCCGTCATGTGAAGTGCTGGTGATTATTGCACATGCGCAGTATAATATTGATATATCACCCAGCCATAGCTACATGTACCACTGGTAGTACGTGAGCTCCCTCTAGTGGTGCACAGAGGTTTCTTCTTTAATCCCCAGGATTTACCCAGCCCAAGAAAAAAGAACTGGAAGGTGGATAGATGGTATTTTTAAAATTTAAACATGTGAAAATATTGCTTAATCCACAATGGCACTCAAAAAAAAGTTTTTTGCCTATGTATTTTAATGGAGGAGTTTAGGTCAGGAACCTCCAAGGTACAACAGGACAACTCCCACTTAGGATATAGGAACTGATAACATTGTGTGCATGTGTCTGTGTTCATTGTTGGAATTTTCAGCAAATGAGGATGGAGCTGGAGCAGAAGCGAGACGTGCTGAATGCGACAGAAACCAAGCTGAACAACGTGGTTCGCTGCAACAGCCAGATCAGCCAGTCATTTCATAAGTGTGACGTGGACCTGTCCAAGTATTCTGAGCTGGTGGGACAGATGAATGACCGCTGGCGTCGGATCATGGCCCAGATTGATAACAGGCAAGGCGTGTCCCAATCACCCAAATCTCATTCTGCTGCTCATATGTGCCACAGTTTGTTAAAATTGTTTTCTTCTCACTGGGTGAATGTGTGCTGGGATTTGAGAAAAGGAAACATGGCCCCCAGTGTTTAGTCAGCTTGACTTAGTGTCTCTGAAGTTCTGTCTCCAGCTGCTGTCAGAATGTTGAAGATGATGCACTTTGCAGGGTTATGGGAGAAAATTATTTCCTTGTGCAGTGGCTCTCAAACTATGGTATGTGTACCACTGGTGGTATGTGTACCACTGGTGGTATGTGTACCACTGGTGGTATGTGGCAGTATCTACTTTTATGATGTTAGTCACAATAGCAGTATGTGGAAAGCCTAATATTTTCTGAGATGGTATGCAGTGTAAAACATTTTGAGAACCACTGTACTAGTCTTATGAGGTGCTTTCAATTTAAATAGTTTCATTGGATAACCAATATACTTCTGTCTTATATCGCTGGTGCTGGCGGTGAAACTTGCTAGTGCTTATCTGCGAAATGTTACATCATTTATTTATTTTGTGAAACTGAAAGATTAATCTGCTGGTCAGATTTAATAATAAAATATAAACATGTTGCAGGTCATATGAATAAAAATAAAAGGCAGTGTTTTGTTTTGATTGTGATTGCTCTCCCCAATAACTAACAAAACAACTTGGTCATTCTCCATTGTTTTGGGGTAGTGGTGTAATTTCGAATTATGAGTGAAGTTTAACCTGTGATCTTTTTGTGTCTCCCATACTAATTTATCTTAAAGATCCCAGCTCTTGGAACAGGGACCAGGTTTAAAAACTTAATGGACAGTGATTTTAAACTGAATAAATACATAATTTTGGTTCTAAAAACTAGCTTCTTGCATTTGAGGCTTTTATCTAAAGTCAAGCTCTTTTTATCTTTTGGGGGTTTTGAAAGGGTAATACATGCGTTTATCTCATTCCAGCTTCACTACCGCAACTCCCTGAATGCTGGTGTTAGCCAAGCCTCCCTCTCACGCCTACAGCTAGTTCAAAATGTGGCAGCTTGGCTTCTAATAGGAGCTTGTGAGCAGGACCACATTACTCCCACACTCCCAGTGCACTTGATTTTAAGATTTTACTATTTGTATACAAAGAATTAAATGGTCTGGCACCAATCTGTCAGATCTTTTCAGCCCACATGTTCCATCTAGGGCACTTAGATCAGCAGGTCAGTCTCTCCTTGTGGTCCCGAAATCCAGACTAAAACATAGAAGAGACCGGGCATTTGCGGTTTCAGCTCAGAAACTATGGAATACACTTCCTCTGCATATTCATCTGTCCCCAACACTTCCTGCGTTTAAATTCCGTTTGAAAACACACGCTTGGCTTTTAACTCCATATAGGAGCTTCCTTTGTCTTTGTTGTTTGTATCGTATGTGGGTTTTAGGGCATTTTGATTTTGTTTAGCACTTTGTTCAACTGCTGTTGTCTGAAATGTACTCTATAAATAAATTAAACTGAAATTGAAACTGAAGTTCGGCATGAAAACTCCTATTGTCTCCCAGTTGTCTTATTTAAACATTTAGTATTTGAATGATTACTGATGTTCAGTTTGCATATATGTTTCATCTTAATGTTCAGTTGGGATTCATTAGGTATACAAGAGATTTCCTGATGTACAAAGATGTTGGGTGACCTGTCAGTCAACTGAGGAGCAGTAAGGTTTGGTGACCCTCCAGTCAGAAGAGACCCGGCCACACCCTCTAACTGAGTTGTACCCTTTGTTGCTGCCCTAGGTCACAGGACCTGGAGAAGTACCTTCAGCTCCTCCGACGCTACATTCAGACCAGCTCCACCCTCGGCCAGTGGATCGATGAGACAGGGAAACGGCAGGACAGGCTGCAGGCTGCCAAAATCGATGACGTCAGGGTCCTAATGGAGAACCTGAACCAGCAGAAGGTAATGCACTCTGGTTCCTGGTGGAAAACCATGCCCATAGGTTTGTGACATACTCCTTGCATGCTGCTACAGTATCATGATCTGTGGCATATTTGCAATGGAAGTATAATGTAGGAAAGCAAAAGTTAAGGAGTCCAGCGTGAATGTGATTCAAAATGAGAGAGAGAGAGAGAGAGAGAGTGTAACGCTAAGGAGCATGTGCTGATACAGTGTGTCGCCACACCCACCACGTGACATATCACCTGAGGAATGAGAACCCGAGTGCAGTGGGTGATAGATACCTTAGCACCTTAGCACCACACTAGTTCGAATGGAACAATGTGAAGTTTTTTCCGTGGGCTAGAATACCAATCCTGCCATCAACCCCCAAATTTCCATGCAAGTTGGAGGACTTGTTTGCAGGGCTGGATGTAGATTGTCATACCCAGGACAAAGCAGTTGCAGGTTAAGGGCCTTGCTCAAGGGCCCAATGAAGTAGAATCACTCGTAACAGTCACAGGAGTTGAAACTGAATCTTTCATCTGCTGGCATGGATCCCTAGCCTCAGATCCACCTCTCCGTCCATACGGAGAAAAATAAACGAAACAAAAAAATGGCAGCCGTGAAATAAAATACAGAGCAAAGGTAAATGAAGATGAGATCCCCCTGCAGTGCAGTTCATTAAACCAAGTTTTGCAGTTCTTAATCCAGTATTGTAATTAGCTCAGTTTTCTCCATGTGTGCCTTTTACAGGCGCTGAACTCAGAGATTAAAGGGAAGCGAACAACCGTAGAAGACGTTCAACGAGATGCAGACACTTGTGTTGTCTCCATTAAGGTAGGGACTGGCCGAATAATCCCATCCATTTCAAACTTAATAACTTGTATTTTGATTGAGGGAGGTGCACAGAATCCACCACTGACCAGTAGGGGGTGCTTTTTGCAGGATTATGAGCGACAGCTGGCCGCATATGGAGCAGGCCTAGAAACCCTGCTGAACATCCCTGTTCGGCAAACTCTGCTCCAGTCCCCTGCCACAGGCATCTCTCTGGAGGTCAGTTATTACATTGAACTGCATGTGCTTGATTCAAAGTGACATACATGTTTTGAGAAAGCTGGGTTATACAGTCTCTGGTTTAGGGGCCTTGCTTAATGGGGACCTGACTGTAAAATCACCCTGCTGACTGCAGGATTAGAACCAGTGACCTTTGAATTTCAGGCACAGCAGCCTCACCTGCTGAGCCACACACCACCCCTTTGCTTCTATTGCTGCAAATCTTTTGGCAAAAATGAGAAACATTTATCTTGTGTATATTGGAGATTATGGTTTTACACAGAATGTGTTATGTATAGGAAAAGAGTCAAAATTCCAGAAGAATACCAACTAAACAGATACCTAGCAGTTATGATTTATTCAGTAGGACACCAAATGCCAGAGAAACGGAATAAGCATTGTTTTTTATAGATATGTACAGCATTAAAACTGGCTGTTATAAAACTCTTTAAGTGGATTCCCTGTTATTTGCCCCCCACCCAGATGGGAAACCTGCAGTCCCGATACATTGAGCTTCTCACTCGATCAAGTGACTACTACAAGTTCTTGGGAGAAATGCTAAAGAACTTGGAAGAACTGAAGGTACATTTTTGTTTATTTTACATTTTGCTTATTGAGTAGACACTTTTATCCAAAGCCACATGCGAGTGCGACACTAAAAGTACATAACTAACATTACAAGCAAAGCAGATAGTAGGTTACAAGCATCATAAGGCAGGCCTAAAATAATGTGTTCCATATTACTTGAGGAAAACGTATATGGTTATTTGTGGGTCGACCCATGTATGTATGAATGAATAACTGATTTAATTTTTTTATATAGATCAGAAACACCCGCATCGACCTTTTAGAAGAAGAGTTGAAACTTTTGAAAGGGGACATCGAGAATCGAAATCGCAAGAACAAGTCTCTTGAAGATGCTCTAGCTAGATATGAGCGGGAGCTTACCCAGTCCAAGGACCAGTTGACTGTTTTGGAGAAGGTAAAACAATCTCAGGATCTGGAGAAAAGTGCCACCAAACAGGACCTCAACAACTCTTTCAACCAGGTGAAAGATTTGAATGAGCAGATGATCCAACTGAAATCCCAGATGGAGGAAGAGAAGAGGAAGAGAATGTTGGCTGAGGAGACATATTCTAAACAGCAGGAGGAGTATGAGCAAATTGTGCGTAAGAGACAGAAAGAATTGGAAGAAGTCAACTGGATGAAGATTGACATTGAGAAAACTATCAAGGACAAAGAAAGAGAGATTGAGAGGTTGAATAGGCAGCTGGAGGATGAGATGGCAAGGCAGCGGGAGTTTCAGTCTGAGCTCTCAAAGGTAAGAGACCAACATAAACAGGACATAAATAATATAAAGACATCCTATGAGTCTCAAATACAGGTCACTAAGGTTAACCTCCAAAGTCTTGAGAAGGCAAAGGATGAAGATTTCACAGGACTGCACATGCAACATGAAAGACTTCAAAGTGAGAAGGGTATTTTGGAAGAAGAGAATAGGAGACTGAAAGTCTTGATAAGAGAGACAGATGAGTTGAGGAAAAAGGCAGAGGAAGAGGCTCATCAGCAAAAGTCTTCCTGGACAGAGGAGTGTAGGAGAAGAAAGGAGCTGGAGATGCAGATACAGACTATTATCCAACAGAGAAATGAAGATGATGCCAGGTACAAAAAAATGATGGCAGAAACCACCACAGCACTCCAGGACAAAAACAGGCAGGTAACATTGCTGACACAGAATGTTGAGGAAGAATTAAGGAAGAAAAGATCCATGGAGGCAGAAAATGCCAGGCTGAACCAAGCTCTAACTGAACTTCAGGCAAAGCTTGCTGCCTCTGCTGAAGTCATCAGCAAGTTGAAAGCAACAGAACAAGATCTCATCCAGGTCACACGTGAACAGGAAAGGCTTACAGGTGAAAAGGGCAAGTTGGAGCTGCACTCAGTTGACCTACAGTCCAGAATCAATGATTTTAAGCAGGTAGTAGATCGATTAGAGAATGAACTTGAAAAGCAGAGGAAGGAGACACAGGATGAGGCTACTGGGAGGAAGAGGCTGGAGGCAGAGTTGGACAGGCTGACACAGTCCTGCAGAGAATACACAAGCACCATTACTGCGCTTAGGCGGCAACAGGAGGAAACCACCAATGCAGACAGAAGAAAGGACCAGGAGCTACAGAGGCTTCAAGATACCCTGGACCAGAGCATGAGGGAACAGAAGTCTACCATGGAGAAGACTGACAGCCTGTCTGCTGAGTTGAAGGCTCTTCAACAACAGCTCCGGCAGGAACAAGCCCGAATCAAGGAGGCAAACCTCCGTAATGAGACTCTGTACAGGACCATCGAGGAGAAGAGCAGGGTGCTGAATGACAATACTACTGAGATTGAGAAGCTGCAGACACTTACTCAAAATCTAACAAAAGAACGTTTGAGGCTAGAAGAGGAGCTGAGGAACCTGAAGATGGAGAGAGATGAACTGATGACAAAAGAAAGCAGCGAAGAGGTTCTTGCTCAGATAGCATCTCTACAGGCCCAACTTCAATCAAGTGGCAAAAGCATTGTGGAGCTTAAGACACTTATTGACAACTTAACTAAGGAAAAGGCAATGTTGAAAATGGAAATGGAAAAGGTCCAAAAACAAGCCATCGAGGTATATTAATAATAATAAAAAAGTGGATTATTTCAAATTAGCATGTTTGGACTTTCAAATTGGCTTTTCCATGGGAAAATCCAGACATGAAATATGGTCGGGCTTCATTACAAGAGTTGAAATCAGTGTTTTAAGTTTCATGCTATTTAGTCTACATTCTAATATTGGGTATGTATGCTGTGTTACATGCAGCTTTAAAAAAAAAACATTTTCATTATACAACAACCAATTACTAAATGTAATAATGGTTTTAATGGATGTAAGCATTACACTGGCTAAAATGTAATTTCTTTAATTATGTTTCAGATGGGAACTATACGTTACTACATTTTAAGAATATTACTAATTTATTTTTTCTTTTTCTTTTCAGAAATCTCGTGTTTTTAATGACTCCCAGACTCAGAACAATGACTTGCTAAGAGAAAAAGAAAACCTGGTTGCCAAGATAAAAATGCTGGAACAGGATAAAAGCAAAGTGCAGAGATATGATGATGAGATGAACCGCATGAAAGCCACACTAGAATCTGAACAGAGAGAGAAGCAACGTCTCCTTGATGAAAAATCTCAGATCAGCAGAGACTTTAATTACTGGAAGACCCAGTATGAGCTGAAGGATGATCAAGTCAGAAAGTGTAATGCTGAGAAAGATAGCATTGAAAGAGAGAGGAATTCCCTGAAGATTGAGATTGAAAGGCTTATGTCTGAACTAAAGGCTCTGGATGAAAGGTACAAGCTCAGGCTAAGTTCCACAGAGAAAGAAGTAACAAAGGAAACCCTGGAAAAGGAACTTTGGAGTCTTAAGCAAGAGAAGACTGTAGACCCCTCCATGCTTGTTTTTGATGGCATTCGTAAAAACGTTACAGCCTACCAACTCTGTGACTGTGGAGTAATCGACAATGCCACACTTAACCAGCTGATCAACGGCAAGAAGACCATCCAAGATGTGGCTGTTGATATCCAGGTCAACTTGAAAGGCACTGGGATCATTGCAGGGATCACTGGAGGTCCCCAAGGCAAAATGTCAATCACAGAGGCTAAGAATAAAAACCTTCTTACACCACAAAGTGCCACCATGCTCCTTGAAGCTCAAGCTGCCACAGGCTACATCATTGATCCTAAACAAAATGAGAAGATGACTGTTGATATGGCTTATGCTAAGGGCCTTGTGGATGCAAAAGACAGGGACAAATTGATTACAGCTGAAGCTGCCAGCACTGGCTTCAAGGACCCTCTTACTGGCAAGTTGCTGTCTGTGGGACAAGCTATGAGGAAGGGGCAAATTGACAGAGAATCTACACTCCGTCTTTTGCAAGCACAAGAAGCCGTGGGCGGCATCCTAGACCCAGTCCTGAGCGTGTTTTTACCAAAGGATGTCGCTCTGGACCGTGGCTTAATAGATGATGATCTTTACAGGGCTTTGAATATGAGGCCAGAATGCTATATTGATCCGGCTAACCAGCAGAAACGGTGCTACGTTGATCTAAAGATGAAAAGTAAACCTGAAGTTGGCACTGGCCTCCTCCTCCTTAGCGATATAGATAAACCCCTAGAAGTGCCAGGTCTACGGAAACAGGTTCCAGTTCTTCAGCTTGTTAATGCTAACCTGCTTACAACTTCTGATGTGGATGGACTGAAGCAAGGTAAAATAACAAAGGAGGATGTCATGCACAGACTCAGGTCATACCTGCGTGGCTCCAGCTGCATTGCAGGGATTTATGACAATGCCAATCAAAGGCCCTTGTCATTCTATCAGGCCATGAAGGAAGGCCTCCTCAAGCCTGGCACCACTTTGGAGCTTCTGGAGGCTCAGGCTGCCTCTGGCTTTTTGATTGATCCTGTTAATAATCTGTACCTGACAGTAGAGGAGGCATTGCAAAAAGGTCTGGTTGGCATAGAGTTCAAGGACAACCTCCTTTCTGCAGAGAGAGCCGTCACAGGATATAAAAATCCTCGTACAGATGAAACAATCTCCCTGTTCCAAGCTATTGAGAAGGGCCTGATACAGAAAGGTCATGGAATCAGGTTGCTGCAAGCTCAGATCGCAAGTGGTGGCATAATAGATCCCACCTATAGTCATCGCATTGATGTGGATGTTGCGTACAGGCAGGGATATTTGGACAGAGCGATGAATGATATCCTTTCCAGAGAAAGTGATGAGACAAAGGGCTTCTTCGATCCAAACACTGAAGAAAATCTGACCTACCGGCAGCTAAAGCAGAGGTGCATCCCTGACACAAAAACAGGGCTTCTCCTGCTTTCCTTGAAGGATCAGAGGCCTACTCAGCAGCTTCGTAAGCGCCGGGTAGTGATTGTAGACCCTGACACAAAGGTCGAAATGACTGTGCGCGAAGCTTATGAGAAGGAGTTCATCGACTATGAAACCTATCTTGAGTTGTCAAGCCAGGAATGTGAGTGGGAGGAAATGACCTTCCCGGGACCTGATGGTTCTACTCGACTCATTATCACTGACAAGAAAACAGGTGTGCGGTATGACATTCAGGAATGTCTTAGCAAAGGAATCCTTGACCAGGCCACTGTAGACAAATATCGAGCAGGGAAACTGACTCTCAAAGAGTTTGCTGACAAGCTAACTAGAAAGGCTGGTCTTGGACTGTTGTCAGATTCCATTAGTAGTGTTCCAGGAAGTATTACAAAGAGTACCCAATCACAGATTACATCAGTATCATCAACTACATCTAAACATGTTTCCAGTCTCTCTATGACACTTTCTAAGTCCGCTGATGGTATGACTGAGCAATCTCCTATTGGGGCCATATTTGATTCTGGAACACTTGAAAAGTTGAGCATCAGTGATGCACAGCGACGTGGAATGGTCGACTCGATCACTGCTCAGCGTCTGCTGGAGGCTCAAGCCTGTACTGGAGGCATCGTTAATCCCACAACTGGGAGAAGGCTTTTACTGCAAGATGCCGTCTACCAAGGCTTTATCGATGAAGACATGGCTACTAGGTTGAAGCCAGCTCAAAAAGCTTATGCTGGGTTTGAGGATGTGAAGACCAAAAGAATGATGTCAGTAGCAGAGGCAATGAAGGAGAAGTGGCTGCCCTATGATGCAGGGCAGAGGTTCATTGAGTACCAGTATGTTACTGGTGGCTTGGTGGACCCTCAGCTCAGTCAGAGGATAAGTCTGGAAGATGCCATCCAGAAAGGCTGGGTGGATGCAAGAGAGGCGCAGAAGCTTCGAGACATCAAGCAGCACACAAAGAACCTGACATGCCCCAACACTACACTGAAGATTTCCTACAAAGAAGCCTTGGACAACAGTCTCGTGGAGGAGAACAGTGGAGTGATGATGCTCCAGGCTTCTTCTATGTCCAGCAAAGGGCTCAGCAGCTCCTACAATGTGTCCTCTGCCCCAGTATCACAAAGTGGCTCCCATTCAGATTCCTGGGATGGTTCCAGCAGGGGCAGTGTGGACCGCACCTCAACATTCAGATACAGTTATACTTACAGCTCCAACACTCTTTCTTAATATCTTATAGCATGCAATATAAATTTCAAATTAACACAAGTAATACAGCATACAGATTTTTTTATTTTAGAAAAATAACACTGACACACTAAATAGGGCAGTGGGAGATATGGAAAAAGGTGTTGGTTTAGGTGTAGACAAGAAATATTTACTACTGCTGCGAAAAAAATAATCTTTACTTCTCTTTTTAAAGTACTTCCGATGCTTATGCTTGGTACAGTAGAATACTCCATATTGCTTTTAAGTGCTTTGTCCCTGATAAAGGAAGAGGGTGATTAAAGGAATTGTGCTGCATATCTGCAGCTTCTTTTGGTTGCATTGGAGAAATTTCACATTTTTATGCACTACATGTATCATTTATTATTTGCATTAAAAGTACAGTGCTTCTGTCATTTGAGTATTGCGTTTGTTATCTTTCATCTGTTTTTTGTCTAGACACAAGACAAATCTGATGCCACTCCAAATCTGATAATGCCCCTGAAAAGAAGTATGGGTGGGTGGCTTATTGTGATCGTTTACTGCTTCCTCTCATGTGTCAAGCCTAATTATATACAGTAGTTAAAACCATAATTGCTGAAGTATTTACAGGTGTCTTAAGAGGAAAATAATCTCCAAATGAATGGTAGTCGGACTGGCCTGACAAATTCACAAAACCAAAATATTTAGTATGACCTTCACTTTTAATATTACTTTCCACTGCAATAAATAAAAGTTGGTATTACAGTGGCTATAAATCTATTGAGTAAACTACCTGGCAAGAGTGAAACTGGAATTAATTGGAAAGATTTGTCAAAAACTCCATAATACTTAAGTAATATTTTACCTAATTGCATTTATGCAAATTGAATTCTTATTCATGAAAGATGTTTTTGACAAATTCTGTAAAAACAAGTAACAAAATCACTCATAACCACTTTCCACCACCTGAGCCTTCATTTAAATTAATACGTACCTATTTCATATGGTGCATTTTAAGTATTTTCCTGTTTCTTCAACTTAGCCCTTAATGAAGGAAAAGTAGGATCCAGCTCAAATCATCATTATGTAGCAACAATAACTGCAGATGCCACTCAACTATTTAGAATGTAGCGCTGTTTTTCTTGCCAGTTGGCTAACTAGTCACTTTGAACTAAAGGTTTAATAAGGGTTTCTGTTTCCATTAAAGCCTGAATTACACCACAAATTGATGAATATGACCTACATTAAATAGGGTGCGAGATTTCAGTGTAATATGCTTTTACACCGTCTTCCTAAACCATTCCCACCATGCAGCCCACCCATTCATCAGCTATTATATTGGGAGCCCAGGGTATATTTTGCTAACTGGGGCAGAGTCCCTTCGGCAGTGGTGGAGGAAGTACTGAAGCTTAGTACTTACTGTAAGTAAAAGTACAAATATCCTGCAAAATATGTACTCAAGTAAAAGTAGAAGTGCTACATCAACAATCTTACTTAAGTGAAAGTACTAAGTACTTACTTTTAAATTTACTTTAAAGTATTTTTTTAAGTAAAAGTACTCACACAATGGTTTGTCTCAATGTCTGGGGTGTGCCATTTTGTAATAGAATAGTAGATATACTGACTTACGCCTCTACCGATGTCATTGCTCGTAATAATTACAAGCAACTAAACAGTATATGTGTATTGGCTCTGGGTCCATGTTGAATGTCTCGTCTTCTTGAAATCAAGCCAGTCTACCAGCTCGTGCTGCTAATTGACGCGCGCTCTGCCATCATTGGAGCTAATAAAGCCACCTGATTGGTAGGAAATGGCAAACAACGCCAGAACGCAATAGGATAACTATTTTTTCATGCAAGATTTTGAGGAAATTGTGTTCATAAAATGTAACGACTAACGGCATAAATTGTGGAAATGTAGTGGAGTACAAAGTACAGATAATTGCCACAAAATGTAATGGAGTAAAATAAAAAGTATGCATTATTATTTTTACTTAAGTAAAGTACAGATACGTAAAAATGTACTTAAGTACAGTAACGAAGTACAAATACTTCGTTACATTCCACCACTGCCCTTCGGTAAGCTTTGCCAACCGATGGGGGGGGGGGGAGGCATGACAAATAACTAAATAAACAAACACATCTCTATATGTCCACACATTTTTCCAGATAATTCAACACGTTAATTTATTTTAACTTCAAACCACAATTTTTTAAGATTTCCTTAGTGTTGCCCTTAAACACATATTGAAAGTGAAGATCATGAATGGACTGCTGAAATCTAATTTTAGTTAGTGATTCATACAAGAACGAACTGCTGTGTGTCAGACTTTAAACTACAAAAAGTACAGCAACAAACACCAATGACTTTTTACCTTAGCTACAATATCGCCGAAATAAAAGCTATTGTGGCTGCTGAGCTGTCACCTACCTCTCTTCACCAACAACTGAAACTTCCTATGAGGAAGTGCTTATTTCTTCCATGATACAACCAAGGCCCAATCCCACACTGGTCCCTACACACTCTGCTTCACTACTCCACCTTCCTTTGTATGTCCCCAAAACCCATTGCCATATTGAAGCGTGTGTCAATGCAGCATGGGTATGGAATCAGATTTGTGGCAATATTCCATCCATACATCTATTTTCTGTAACTGCTTGTCCTATTCAAGGTTGGGGGCGGAGTCTTTTCCGGAGACTACAGGCGCAAATCAGAGAACACTCACACATGTACACCTATGGGCAACATGATAACTCCAATTAACCTCAGCATGTTTTAGACTGGGAAGAAACCAGAGTGCCCTGAGGAAACCCACAACAACATAGGGAGAACATTCAAACTTGTGCCGATATAATCAAGCGAAATTTTGAAATATCTACTAAAAACAAGGATTTGACAGAAAATAAAACTCACTGAAGCAAAAATACGTCATCTGAAAAGAAAAATTAAACCTTGCAAACAAACTACAGAAAATCCACTATATATATATGAATCTTCAAGATGCAAATTTCAAAGATGAGAACATGTGTGTCCATTAAATTTAAATTTGTTTAAATAACTGCAAAATTTTAAATTGTGTCTGAATTTCAAATTTTGCGGCAGTGTGTAAGTTAGTTCCTATCTCTGATGCTTGTTTTCAATAGGAGTTGAGGATTGGGGGGGTGGAGTATCATCAGCTGGGTGTCTAGGCTAACTTGGTTGGACTTGCAAACTTGCTCTTTTTTCAGAAGTGTGTTCCCATTGGCGAATGAGTTTTTAAACATTTTTGACCGTTAAACTCTATTTTACATGTGAATTTACAGTAAGTGAAACTAACTGGTCCACTAACGATCTTCAAAGTTAGCAGAAATGCTAATCTGCTAATTAAAAAGTTAGCTTTACTAATCAACGGATTAGTGGAACTCTGTCCGCCACTGATGGTATGTGTCAAAGCAACATTCACATGAATGTCAGCACACAAAGTTTCCCAGCAGAACATTGCTCAGAGCATCACACCGCCTCCACCAATTTGCCTTCTTCCCATAGTGCATCCTGGTGCCATCTTTTCCCTAGGTGAATGACACACATGCACTTGGCCATAGACATGATGTAACAGAAAACTTGACTCATCAGATTAGGCCACCTTCTTTCATTGCTTCACGGTCCAGCTCTGACACTCATGTGCCCATTGTAGGCATTTTCCAAAGTGGACAGGGGTTAGCATGGGCACTCTAACCAGTTATAAATATGTCAGGGGTTGCTATTTTGAGATCTCTTATACGTATTGATTAACCCGACAAAATCCATCATTGTCCACTACTGTTATGTCAGGGCAAGACATGAAGGGATAAGAGGCCCACCACATAGCGACTTTGACAAAACAGGGTTTTATTAAAGTAATGGAACACAAAGGGAGAATCTGAAAATAAAGGGACCCTGACAAAAACTGATAAAAATTATACAAAGGTAAATAGCAACACTGAAAAACAACAATACCAAAGGTAGGGAAGAACACAAGAAATGACAATAATAATAATAACATGGGATAACTATACGGACTACACTTAACAATGACGCAGCTAACACAGGACAACAGCCACAATGACCAACTGAGGAACAGAAGAAAAGCAGGTATTTAAGTACACTAATAACAAGTGTAGACAAAGGAGAGGTGAGAACCATAACCAATTAACCAATAACAAAGAACTCAGGGCAACAAGGAACAGGCGGGGGCAATCAGAAACAGAAAAGGGCCAAACACCAAGGCAAACTAAAACGAGAAAAACTTTACATACTACAAACAGGGAACAAAAACAAGGCCGCCTCAAACTGACAACAAAGGGGGAATTGGGGTGGTGGCCAACCTCTAGCCCGTTAAGCCACACCCAGCCCAGGGAGCAGGGAAACACACTAGGGTAACACCAATCAGGATGGCCAGCAAGAACTGCTAGTCAATCGGGGAGAAGACACATGGGACAGGGCCAGACAGGCATCAATTCTGACAACTACGGAAAATGGCTGACTGTCCAATGTAATCATCTCCATTATTTCAGTGGTTGCATCATTAGCTCCGGTGCTGATATTATATAATATAATATTGACAAGGTTTAAATATCAGCCAGCAATATCAGTATGTTCCTTTTGTTTGTTCCTTCTTCATAAAGACAGTATGTAATGGTAAATAATAATAATATAAAGTAGCATGCATCTCAAGTAGCAACTGTATTTGTTCATGATTTGTACTTAAGTACTATTTGTGCCCTGTAACGTAAAGTGTTACCATAATAATAATAAAGAAGAGAGAAATATATTGTTGAGCGAAAATAGCCATCTCAGTTCAACAACAACAACAACAACTCAAGGTGGGTTTGGGGGTTGGAGGTGAGTCATGGTTTCTGTATCATAGCGGCAATGAAACAAGAAGAAGGTTCTGGGTGGTACTCCAATCCTAACCCCCAATTACCAACCACTTAATATACAGGCTCACTGAAAACAGGCCTCACCAAACCATCATCCAAAGGTGTCACAGGTGTGCTTCTCAAACACTTGACACCTCTGCATGGAGGTGAATGTAAATTCTACTTATTCAGCTACACCTACCACTGATGATGTGATGGTGCTGACTCCTGAGACAAAAATTGGTGGAAATGTGGGCCGGTTCCTAGTTGGCACCTGGTTCTGAACTGAACTGGTTCACGAACCAGAACAGAACTGGGGTGCATGTCCCGAGAGCTTTGTAATGCTAAGTAGTTCATTGCCTTGCACTTAAGATTAATTAACAAGTGTTTCTTGAATCCCTTCATGATTAAAGTAGTTCACAATCTTACTCATAGATTTACAAGTGCTCCAACCCACTCATTACTTTGTATGCTGTTTTTTGTTTGATCTTTTGCCTGCTATGTTACAGAGACATAGAGATCAGCCAAAATAGATGACAAAAACACACTGATGCTCATTTCT